CGCATCTCCCCCACCCAGTACAACGCTTCGTGGCCCCATAGATAGGAGGAGGAGGAGGAGGAGGAGAAGGAGGAGGAGGAAGAGGTGGAGGAGGAGCAGGAGGAGGAGGAGGAGGAGGACGAATAGGACGAGGAGGAGGAGAAGGAGGAGGAGGAGGAGGAGGAGGGGGCGGACGTGGACTTGTTTTCCAGAAAGGGCTGGGCCCAGGGTTGTAGATTTGCCCCCCGCCCTTCGCCTGAAGAGGACCAGCGGAGTTATTCTCTGTCAACGGATGGAGAAAAGGTCCGCAGAGTCAAGGTTTCTTGTACGCAGGCACGGAGTGTGTTGTATGGAGTATTTGTGGAATGTGCAAGAAATTATACCACAGACTGAGGGGGGCGAGCGGTCTTACACCGTCCCTGGGTGCGTGGCTGAAGTGGGATTCAGCGGCAGCGGCGCGGATGCTGTGTGTTGCTGCGTTGCGTTGCGTTGCGTTGCGTTGCGTTGCGTTGCGTTGCGTTGCGTTGATGTGCAATTCGTTGCGTTGATGTGCAATTCGTTGCGTTGCGTTGCTTTGCGTCGTCGTCGTCGTTGTTGTTGGTGTTGTTGTTGTTGTTGTTGTTGTTGTTGTTGCTGTTGTTGTTGTTGTTGTTGTTGTTGGTGTTGTTGTTTGTGTTGTTGTTGTTGGTGTTGTTGTTGTTGTTGTTGGTGTTGGTGTTGTTGTTGTTGTTGTTGTTGTTGTCGCTGTCGTTGTTGTTGTTGTTGTTGGTGTCGTTGTTGTTGTTGGTGTGCTTGTTGTTGTTGCTGCTGCTGTTGTTGCCGTTGTTGTTATTATTGTTGTCGATGCCGCTGAATTTTCACTACTGAAGAATACGTGTTGCTGACCCCCCTCTGATGACCATTGTTTTTTTCAGTTGAAGTGCTTCCGCTCGGGGCTCGCACCCTGTTATTTACCAGGGAAAGTCACGGAGTTCAAACTGTGCTGTTGGCCTCTGGTTTACGACAACAACGGCTCCCGCTTGATAATTCCTCACATTTTTCCCCCAAGTCGCGCTCTCGCGCAGGACTTCCCCTCAATTTGTATACGAATCGCGCCCTCGCGTGGGACTTCTCGCAATCTATTCTGGCGGTGCACCCTCGGCGCCCAGGAATCACGCTCTCGCTTTGGTTTCTCCCACGATTTATTTGGGAGTCGCGTTATCGCTCGAGACTTCTTCGCGATCCATGCAGGGCCCACGCTTCAGCAACCCGCCTGCTCGACCTGGTCGCCTGGGCCCGCCTTCCCGACCTGCCCGCTATGGGTCTGCCCACCCGATCTGCCCATCTGGTTCTACCACTTGTTTTCTGTTTCTTGCCCGCCTCCTGCTAATTTCTCTCGTGCTCCATTCTTCTCCCTCCCCATTCCACCCGTTTTCTCTTCTCTTGTTTAGGGGCTACACTAAATGCACGTGGCAGGTAATGAAGATATACCCCCCAACGGGGCACGATGGAAGACGACGAGGGCGACCGATTGATTGGCACGCGAGCAGATAGGAGCGATCAGTCTTAAAATGATTGTTGTTGTTGTCGTTGTTGTCGTCGTCGTCGTCGTCGTCATCCCGCCCGCGACCCGCCCGCGACCCACTCGCGACCCACCCGCGACCCACCCGCGACCCACCCGCGACCCACCCCGCGACCCACCCCGCGACCCACCCGCGACCCACCCCGCGACCCACCCCGCGACCCATCCCGCGACCCACCCGCGATCAACCCCGCGACCCACCCCGCGACCCACCCGCGACCCACCCCGCGACCCACCCCGCGACCCATCCCGCGACCCACCCGCGATCAACCCCGCGACCCACCCGCGACCCACCCGCGACCCCCCGCGACCCAACCCGCGACGCACCCGCGAACCACCCGCGATTCATCCGCGACCAACCCGCGCCCCACCCGCGACTCGCGACCCACCCGCGACCCACCCGCGACCCACTCGCGACCCACACGCGACCCAACCCGCAACCCACCCGCGACCGACCCCGCGACCTACCCGCGACCCACCCGCGATTCACCCGCGACCCACCCGCGACCCACCCGCGACCCACACCGCGACGCCCGTATCGCCCGCGTTCGCCCTTTCACTCTTATCAGCAATTGCGGGGTGCTACGTACTTTTGCGCGTGCCCGTGCGAGGATGGCACGCCGCGCGGTCAGAGTCCTCTGCAGATTAAGAAGTTCGGAGGTCCAGGAAGCCCTGGGTTCCCCTGCATGCCCTGGGAGCAGGAGTCTTTTGTATTTGGCATGGGATCATGGCACTGGGAGCGAGGGCGCATGGTAATTCATGAGTCGTGGCCCTGGGAGCGCAGACGCAGCGTAGTTTACGAGAAATCGTGGCCCTGCTGAGAGCGCGGGCGCAGTGCAGTTTACTAAGGATCCGGGCCCTTGGGCCGTAATTTACAAGGGGTCGTCGCCCTTGGGGCGCAGGCCGTGTAATTTACAAGGGATCCTGGCTCCCAGAGCGAGGACGCAGCGCAATTTACGTAGCACCCCGCAATTGCGGATAAGAGTGAGGGGGCGGGCGCGCGTTCGTGGGCGTCGTCAAGCCGGCGGACCTCGTGGCCCCCACCTTCCCTGTCGATGGCGCTCTCCTCCTCCTCCTCCTCCTCCTCCTCCTCCTCCTCCTCCTCCTCCTCCTCGCCTCCTCCCTCCTCCTCTCCTCCTCCTCGTCCTCATCGTCATCGTCGTCCTCCTCCTCCTCCACCTCGTCCTCCTCCTCCTCCTCCTCTCTTCCTCGTCCTCCCTCTCCTCCCCTCTCGTCCTTCGTCCTTCCATCATCGCCCTCCCATTGTCGTCATGTTCTTCCTCGTCGTCTTCCTCCTCTCCCCCCCCTTCCCGATCCTCCCCCCTCCTCCTTTTCGTCGTCGTCGTCGTCGCCGTCGTCGTCGTCGTCGTCGACGTCGTCGTCGTCGTCGTCGTCCCTTCCTCCCCTCCTCCTCCTCCTCCTCCTCCTCCTCCTCCTCCTCCTCCTCCTCGTCCTCCTGCAAAAGCAGGCCGCCGCAGGCGCCGAAAAATCTGGTTTGTGGTTTGGGTCGCGGGTGGGCCGCGGCCTCTCCACCTAGAACGAATGCAAAAGATGCCCGCCGCAGGCGCCGAAAAATGTGGTTGGTACCCTGAACGCGGTTTGGGTCGCGGGTTGGTCGCGAGTTGGTCGCGGGGTGTGCCGCGGGCTCTCCACCTGGAAGGAATGCAAAAAAACCCGCCGCAGGCGCCGAAAATGTTGGTTTGTACCTTGAACGTGGTTTGGGTCGAAGGTGGGTCGCGGGTGGGTCGCGGGGTGGGTCGCGGGTGGGTCGCGGGTGGGTCGCGGGTGGGTCGCGGGTGGGTCGCGGGTGGGTCGCGGGGTGGGTCGCGGGTGGGTCGCGGGTGGGTCGCGGGGTCGCGGGTGGGTCGCGGGGTGCGGGTGGGTCGCGGGGTGGGTGTGGGTCGCGGGGTGGGTCGCGGGTGGGTCGCGGGTGGGTCGCGGGGTGGGTCGCGGGGTGGGTCGCGGGTGGGTCGCGGTCGCGGGGGACGACGACAACAAACAACAACAACAACAAACAACAACAACAACAACAACTCGAATCCGCACCGCGGAATCCCACTTCAGCCACGCACCCAGGGACAGTGAATGACCGTTCGGCCCCCTCACTCTGATAATTGGTTGCGGCCCTGGGAACGCGGACGAAGCTTAGTTTACGAGTGATCGTGGCGCGGGGAATTCGAACCAATGGTGATTTACTGAGGATCGTGGCCCTCGGAGCGTGAACACGTGAAGTTTTCGAGGGACCATGGCCCTGTGAGAGCGGATCCAGCGGTGGCTCGTCCCCTGGTGCGTTCAGTGACACGTCCCCTGGCGCGTCCTTGGGCACGTCCCTTGGCTTATCTTGGCTTGCGCGTCTCCTGGCACGTCTACGGCTCGACCCCTGACGCGGGCGAAGCGGAGCTCTCGCCCAAACTCCGCCCAGGTTGTGGGCAGCGGGACCGCGCGCGAGCGCCTTCCGTTCGCTAGATTCCCGGAGAGCTCTCTGAGAGCTATAGGGTTTTAGATTAGAAGCCGGACGGTGGTGGTTCCTGCCAGCAGCCCATCTTCGCCGCTCCAGAATCCCCGCAGCAACCTGTAAAACCTCGCAGCGCTTCAGAGGTGCTTCAGGACAGCTCCCCAGAGCTTTTCAGGAAAGCTCTCCAGTTCCCGGAGTGCATGTTTGCTCTCCGGGTTTTGGACGCTACCAAGTGGGAACGCCCGCCAGTCCGAGCATCAAGTAACTTCCTCTGCAGTGCATCGCATCTGCTCCAGTCCGGATGCCCGCAGCACTCGCTCTCAGGGTCGGGGCACTCTTTGTGACCCTGTGCGCTGGGCATCCGCAGTTGCACCTGTGTTCGGCCATGATTCGTGACTTGGGGTGCGGAGGAGGAGAAGGAGAAGGAGGAGGAGGAGGAGGAGGAGGGAGCAGGAGGGAGCAGGAGGAGTAGGAAGAAGAGGAGGAGGAGGCGGAGGAGGAGGAGGAGGAGGAGAAGGAGGAGGAGGAGGAGTTGGCAGGGTGGGGGGCAACATTCTGCAGAGACTTATGGGCGCTCCGAGGGGCCCGCCCCTCTTGACGCAGCATGGGGCCCTCCGAGAAAAGCGGGGGGCCCTCTCGCAGAGGGCAGCACCTGCCGCCCGTCTCCCGCCTCCTGCCTGTCTCTGGGAGCAGGTGCGGGGTACATCACCACCCACCAAACCACCCCAACCCAACCCGAAGGCTCAGATTTACCCTCGATTTCTAGTGGGGGGGGGTCCGGGAACATCGAAAAAACACGTATGGAGCCCATACCCCCCCCAACCCGAAATTCGGGTCTTTGGGTTGGGTTGGGGTGGTCTGGTAGGTAGTCAGTACAGCTGCACGTGGGTTCCGGAGTTGGCCACATCTTCCCCTCGTTGTTCGGACGTCTCCGGGCACTGGGGGATCATTTCTTTTGAGGTGCTTGTACGGGTGGCTGGACTATAAAAGAAAAAACTTGGGGCGTTTGGCTCAAACAGCGGCGCGAGAGCTGGAATGGCATACGCCCTGTTCTGCTGCTGCGCCGAGGACGCGGATGCCGAGCAGGTCGTCGTCCTCGACCCCGGCGACGAGCACGGGGGCGGGCCGTCCTTTCCGAGCGAGGTCGTGGTGCCGCAGACTCGGGACACGAGAGGTGAACCCAGAGGGGCCCAAAACTGCACAAACATACAGTCGGTGCGCTGAAGAAGGAACCCTTTCCGTTGTGGAGGGGCTCCGTGTTCCTTGATTGTTTCACAGCGTGCCTCAGGGTTTCCTGATGTTTTCGATGGGACATCGAAGTTTAACTTATGGAAAAAAGGGGCCTCGTTCCTTATTTAGGGTTCCTTAGGTCAACGCCCCGACTGTAGATTCTGGAAGTCCGCGTGTATTTCTTGGATCGGCGCTGGAGCCCCCCCCCCATGTCTGCGCCAGAGGCGCCGCCAGGACCCCCAACCACCGCCGATCCAAGAGTGTCTGCGCGGACCTTCGAAAGCTTATGCTTACTGGGGAACGACGAGGTACCGATACCGCTAGGTCGTCGTCCTTGGCGGATGCCGACAAGGTCGTCGTCCTTGGCCCCGGCGACGAGCACGGGGGCGGGCCGTCCTCTCCGAGCGAGGTCGTGGTGCCGCAGACTCGGGACACGAGAGGTGAACCCAGAGGGGCCCAAAACTGCACAAACTATCCCAGTGCGACCCTACCTAGGAGTTGGAGGATCTAGGAAAGCAATATCTATATCTAAACCGAAAGCTACATGAGCATCTACACCTGCATCTACATCCACATCAACATCAACAGCGAAACTCACATGAGATGAAATACGCTAAGCTAAGATGAGATAAGCAACGCTCAGCTAAGGGAACGTCACTGGGGGAACCGCGGGGCTGATGCCGGGGGAACCGCCCGGGGCGGGTTCCATTGCCCGGCCTTTTTAAGCTCACCAAGTAAGAACCCTTCTAGGCAGAGCCTAGGTAGGGAACATAGATTCTGGAAGTCCGCGTGTTTAATTCTTGGATCGGCGCTGGAGCCCCCCCCCCATGTCTGCGCCAGAGGCGCCGCCAGGACCCCCCCACCCCACCGCCGATCCAGGAGTGTCTGCGCGGACCGTCGAAAGCTCATGTTTACTGGGGAACGAAGAGGTACCGATACCGCTGCTCCTCGGGCCTCTCCTGGGCGCGTTCTGATCAGGATTCCGTGGCGAATCCAGCTGTGGTGACGAGGGCACTCCACGAGTGGAGTGGCGTGTATCGGTATCTCTTCCTTCTCGGAGTTGATGCAATTTGCACTTCTGCGCCGATCCCAGAAGTCCGCGCGGACCTCCGAGAAGTTATGTTGTGCCGTTTACTGCTCCTCGAGATCCGAGCCCGCTGGGGCTCGCGAGCGCCCGGCCGCGGTCCACGTTCTACCGCAAGCTCAAGGCCGCGGTGACGTGGACGAGGCCCCAGGACACCCAGCGCGTCGCGCGCCCAGGGAATCGGACAGAGGAGGGGCTGATATTCGGGGGTCCCTGGCTCCCCCAGCGCCCCTCCCTCGGTCCTCGTGGTCTTCCGCTGCCCCTTCCTCCCCCCTCCTCCTCCTTCTCCTCTTCCTCCTTCTCCGCCGACCCTCCTGAGCCCGAGCCTCCAACTGTTGTCAGGACCTCACACTCGGGCTCCCTGTCGGCCCCCTCTTATGAGCAGCGTATGTCAGCTCTCGTTGAAAGGATTCGCGTAAAGGAACAGGCTAAGGCAGCTAGTTCCCTATCGTGAGTCGCTTTAAGTTTCAGTTTTGATCAATTAAGCCTCGCTTAATTCTTAGTGCTGTGCACTCCCCTGCGGGTCTTTTCATTCATTCATTCATTCATTCCTCCTTCTCCTCCCCCTCCTCCTCCTCCTCCTACTCTTCCTCCTCCTCCTCCCAGTCCTGTCGCTCTCTCTCTCTCTCTCTCTCCCTTCCTCCCTCCCTCTCTCTCACTTTCTCTCGCTCTCTCCCTCCCTCCTCTCTCCCTCTCTGCGGTAGAGGGAAACCATTCGTGGACACTCCCCCTCTCCCCCAAACTCAAAAGTGGTACGCACAGGGAAGACTGCGGTCGAAGTGCAACTCACTCAACCCACCGCCAGCATTGATCATTAGGGGGATTGACCATTGGAGAGTGGATTGTCAGATGAATGTGGCGTGAGTGTTCGCTAATTTCTTCCGAGGCCCGTGCCTCTCTCTCTCTCTCGCTTTCTCTTCCCTCTTTCTCCCTCTCTCTCTCTCTCTCTGTCCATTCCTTGTTTCTATATGTTTATAAGCCGCGGGGGTGCGACCCCCCCCCCAAAAAAAAAACAAAAGGTCCCCCCGGGTTTTCCGAAGCTCCCGGAAGCCCGTGCTGGGCCTAGGCAACGGGCCCAAATCGGTCAAGAGGCCGGCCGAACGGCCCCCTGAGGACCCCAAGAGGCCCCAGATACCCACCAGACGCCCGAAGATAAACCAAAGAAGACTCACAAGAGGCCTTCGAAGCGGAAAGAAGCCTTGCTTTCCAATGGTTTTGTTGCATGATTTGGGGAATGCGCTGTTCTTCGGCTTTCCAGGCGCCCGATCGCTAGGAGGCCCGAAAAACCAATCCAAAACTACGCGGAAGTGTTTCAGGCAGTCTAAGAGTGCTCCCCGAATATGACCTCCTCGATCCTGCGGTTAGGCAGTATATCATCGGGCTCGTCCAACGTGGTCCGGTTATTCGCGCGTGGCTCGGGGCCCCTGCAGTGCTCTCACCATCGCGAGGCGGGGGGCGGAAAACCTTGAGGTCGCCAGAGAGAAGGGTTAGTTCACATGCGCGTATCTCCTCCGAGGTGATCCGACAGCGTCTCAACTCCAATGTGGCCTTAGTCCTGGAAAACCCTCTTGCGTCTCGTCTCTGGGGCTTTGAGCGACTAGCGGAGTTTTTGGCGGACTCGCGCTTTTTTGTTGTTAGATTCCAATACCTGTGGATTTAGGACGCGATTCAGAAGCCCTCTCGTCCGATTGGTGCCCTTCGTGGCTTGGAGAAGCTAGCCGTGAGATGTCTTGGAAATCACACGCACGCGATCGCCACAGTAAAGTTGCGAGTGTGGGATGAGGATCGTCGTTTCTTTCAGTGGAGGCAAGCCTCACAGCATACAAGAGTCTATGGTTCAAAATTATGTTTCAGTGTAGCTCGACTCGTTTTGGCGGAAGTCCGACAGCATCATATGTATATATATATATATATATCATATGTGTGTATATATACATATATATAAGGGCCGGGGACGCCGGAAAAAGCGAGCGCCCCCACCCCCCTAACGAATTTGGCCATCCCCGGGCCTCTGGGCAACCCTTCAGACGACCCGGGAGAACCTCACGAGAGCCCGAAGCCGGCCCCAGACGGGTTCCAGGCGTTTCGGCGCGCTCCCGAAACGACCCTAGATGCCCCAACACGGTCCACGACGACCCCCCAAAAGCCGTCATACCCCCAAAGATCGCTCCAAAACGTCCCAACAGGCCTCCAAGAGCACTCCCAAGAAGGCCCCAAGAGGCAAACATCATGGATTTTCTGCAGTTTTTTGGTGAATTTGGGGTTCTCTTCTTTTCGGCTTCCCCACGCTCCAAGACGGCGGTCTTCTGGGCGTCCGAAGCCGCCTGGGAGGCTCTAAAATCGCCCCACAACAATCCGAAAGGGCTTCCAGGCAAGCCAAGAGAGCCCCAAAGCGGCACAACAGGGGTCCAAGATGGCCTGACGAGAGCCCCATGGCGGCCCAAGGTGGCCCCAAGACGCCCTCCGAAGCATTCCAAATCGTGACCCAGTCGTTCAGGGAGACCGCGGTTGGAGTACAGAGAGGCCGGAGGAAGCCCGCAGAGGCCCCCAGCACACGCCCAGGAGGCCTCCAGAAGGCCTTAAGAAAGCCGGAGCAACTTTTGTGAGGCCCCCAGAGGCTCTCCAAGGAGGCGCCTCCGCAAAAAGAGCTGAGGAGGACGGGGCAAATGCGCGGGGTATGGCAAGAATCAGGAAAAAGAAGCACGGGGGAAGGTAACGGCGATGCTGGAAAAGGCAACAAAGAGTTATCGTTAAATTGTCGGCATGACCTTCTTGCCATTCCGCCTGCATACCAAACTTCAAGGACCAAGGTGCATGGCGCGAAGCGCCACTGCAGCCTTGTACATTTATACGTATTTACACATGTATGTGTGTGTATATATATATATACACATACGTATCGAAAAATATGGCAGCTGCTCGACGAATGTCACAGCCAGACATGTCGTTGACAAAACCAGTCTCTCGCAAGCGGTCGCCCCAGAGCTTCGACGCCGCCAGCGAGGGTGTGTTGGCGCGAAGCCCCAACGGTCAGCCAGGACCTCGGCATCGTTCCCAGAGGGCTAAGTGCGTACGTCGGCGAGCCCTGGCGGCAGCCTTCACTGGAGTTGCGCATGCCAGGCGGCAGCTGGCAGCGGTTCGCTCGTCCCCCGACGGCGCGCCACGGGCCAGTTCCACAGCCTCGGAACCTGGCGGAATGCGGAATGCAGCGTGGGCCCCGCCACCCTGGCGACGCGCAAGGCCAAGAGCGCAGAGTTCAGGGCGTGGGCGGCTGGCAGGGGCCGCAGCCTCGGGGCGCCACGGGCGGCCGACTCTGCGATGTCGGACTACTTCGAGTGGCCGCACGCGCAAAAAGAGCAGCCCAAGCCGGGCAGATGGACGCTGCACGGCTTCGCGCTGCTGCACCTGCCCCATCTCGGTAGAGGTGGCCACGTCCCACCCACAGCAAAGGCTGCTCTGAGGGGCCGGTTGAGGCAGATGCCCGGCCGCATCGTTGGCCCGTGCCCGATCAAGGCGGCCTGGCTGATCGCGCAGTGGCTCTTGCTCGCGAGCCAGGCCCTTTAGTCATGGTGTGCCTTGGCCGTGGTGCCGCAGGTAGACGCGCGCGTCCAGCCCGGCGCCCTGTTCGACATCGGCAACGATGCCACCACCTTCCTCGAAAGTTTTGCTGGGTCAGGCTCGCTACCTGACGCGGACCTTGGTGGCGGAAGATCTGAATTATTTCTCTGAAGATGTTGGTATTCCTCGGGATGCTGACCATGGTAGGCCTCCTGAAGGGGTGGGGTGGCGGCAGCGTCTCTGATGACAAAGGCCGCGCGCTTCACCGCGACGCCTGACTTCGCGGGCGACGCCCCGTGCAGCGGGGCCAGGGAAAAGCCAGTCAGCCCCCCCGCGACCTTCTCCAACGAGTCTCCCGCGCGCAAGGTCCCCAAGACGAAGGGCGCAATATCAGATGACAACGAAGTGACATGCATATGTATTCTTCGGGATTCAGATGCGGAAAGCTTCCTATCTTAGAAACCTCCGAGAGGGGGGGGGGCGTTCTCGCACGCTCATGGGAGCAAGCTGGTGCCAGTATGGCACAAACTCAGGGGCTCAGAGACGCGCGCTCAATATTTCAGCCGCGCGGCTATGGTCGCAGAGGCTGCAGCAGGCGGAATTGCCCGCATGCCGTCGGATACTGCTTCGCTGGGCGCCCTGTCCGAGAAGCCCGTGACCGCCGACACGTCGCCGCGCTGGTGGTTCCAGAAGTGCCCCGAGGCATGGTTGGATGAAGCGCGTGTGAAAACGTGGGCCGAGCGGCGGGGCTTCGGGAACGTCTCGGCGATCAGCCGTTCCTCTAAAAGCGAGCGGCTCTTGCGCGCTGATTTGCCGGGGTCGCGCATGGACCTGATCTGCAGAGGAGGAGGAGGAGGAGGAGGAGGAGGAGGAGGAGGAGGAGGAGAGGAAGGAGGAGGAGGAGGAGGAGGAGGAGGAGAGGAGGAGAGGAGGAGAGGAGAGGAGGAGGAGGAGGGAGGAGGAGGAGGAGGAGGAGGAGGAGGGAGAGGTGGAGGAGGAGGAGAGTCAGAAGCGGGATCGCTGCAACCCTGGCCCCATCCACGGGCGGGGCCGGGCGAGGCCGGCACCCAAGGCCAAGCGCGCGACGGCGCGCGGCGCTCCTTCGCCGTCGCGCCCTGCTTCGCCCGGGGCGAAGACATCCTTGCCCCTCCTCCTCCTCCCCTCCTTCTCCTCCTCCTCCTCCTCCTCCCCCTCCTCCTCCTCCTCCTCCTCCCCCTCCCCCTCCTCCTCCTCCCTCCTCCTCCTCCTCCTGGTCCTCCTCCTGCTCCTCCTGCTCCCTCCTCCTCCCTCCTCCTCCTCCTCCTCCTCCTCCTCCTCCTCTCCCCCTCCTCCTCCTCCTCCTCCTCCCCTCCCCTCCTCCTCCTCCTCCTCCTCCTCCTCTCCTCCTCCTCCTCCTCCTCCTCCTCCTCCTCCTCCTCCTCCTCCCTCCTCTCCTCCTCCTCCTCCTCCTCCTCCTCCTCCTCCTCCTCCTCCTCCTCCTCCTCCTCCTCCTCCTCCTCCTCCCCCTCCCCCCAGGGCGATGATGGCGACGTTGCGATGGGAACGCCGACTGAGGCCGAGAGGAAGGTTGCGGCGGCTCCGTCATCCGAGCCG